TGCCTATGATGATAAATGGATCGGATGGAAGGACAGATGGATAATAATCCTCCTTTTGGGTCACCTACTACTGTTCCTCTATCAAAAACCTTGTGAGGGCTCCATCTGTGTGTGCAGGGCTATCCTCATTTAGCAGGCTGTGATACAATTTATTATTATTCTTCTGTTTAACCAGCAATAAAAGGTGATAAGTTACACATTACTCACACGACACAAGGGACAAGCGACTACAAAAGCAGGCCGATGATTGGCACTCACACTTGTATTTGTACAAATATTGTACAAATATTTACACACTTGGTTGAGTTTAACTTTACACCACAATTTAGGATAAAGAACGTTGACTAGCCAGCTCTGTTGTGGCCCAACAAGGTAAAGTCCATTACAATATTACACAGTCGTTTATTGTCAATCCTGCAGTATGTAAAGCACATCCACGTAGTTTAAACTGTGCTTCTCTCACTCATACATGGACATATTGTTTATTATGTGTGCATGCAACAGCCTCTGCTTGATTCCACACACAAGCACATTTGTTATTCTCTTTGCCTGTTGGTGGCAACTTTCCACTCTTTTGAACATCTTTTTCCCTCGATTTTCCGATCCCGTGTTATGACAGGATGGACGAGGGCAGCGGCAGGGAGAACACCGAAATAGCATCATCAGATCTTTCTTTCATAAACTTTTCCATTCCTGCAGCAACACACAGGAACAGACCTTGGCAGAGAAAGAAACACAAACTCAACTTGTCAAATGAGATTTTGCTCCCCATAAAAAGCTGAGCTAAAACATGAGGCAGTGTGGACAGAGTGGGGACGTGATATTAGGAGTACAACTGTTCCTAAAGCGTCGGCGTCTTCCATTTCAGCTTCCTATCAACAACACATTGCTCATGGGATCACACATTTGCTCTACTCTATCGCCGGTGCTATAAATACACGGCCTGAATGCTCAATTACATTATTCCTAGGGAATTCACTACCACCAGCCATGTGACATGAGACTAAATATAGCTATCAGCGTGTATGCTGCAGCGTGTATGCTGCATTGTGATTGACATCCTTATGCTAACCTTCTCAAACCTTCTCTAACCTTCTGCAAAATAAATTGAAAAAAAAATTTATTTATTTTTTCAATGACACAAAAACACAGTGCTTATCTGGCCTGGAAACAAAATACGGAAAGCAGTGTCAGAGCACAGCTTCCAGGTTAGAGGAAACTCCCCAAACTATTTTCGGTGGTGTAAATATTCCAGCACAGTGGGGTTCCAGCTATGGTGGTCTGAGGCTAATGAGGTGTCAGTAAACTGAAACAGTGGGTGTGATGGAAATGATGAAAAAGCAATTAGAAGTAAATAATGCTCAGCAGAGAGCATTCATCACAGTGATTCAGCGTTTGATATAGAGTCAACCCAGCTTGGCGCTGAAGAGGTGTGTGAACTGTAATCCAAAACAGAATGGCTATAATTAAATAAAATCCACAGACAGTCACCAGTGTTTACTGAGAGTAGTAGGAATACATTACATTTTCTTTTTCCAGATGGCACTCAAAGGAGAAACCACACATTATAGATCGTCCTCAGCTATAAACGGGAACTGACTGGTTAACGTCCATCTCTGGGGTTTCTGATGCTTGGCTCAATTATGTAAACATTTCAACGGATAACCTGGAAAAAGCTCAGGATGTGGTCTTCCAGTAACCCTTTATTCAGAGATCATAATCAGAAATGATGAACAATGATTTATTTTGACTGATCCAGTGGGAAAGTTCATTTTTACACTGACAAATGAGATTGGAAAAAGATCGACTAAATTGTAAAAAAGTTTTACAGCATTTACCTTAAGCTGTATTTCAAATGCAAAATGACTTAAAAACTAGTAACTACATTCTAGAAACAGGCTCTAGTTACATTACAATTAAAGGATCAGGCCTGAAAACACACCTCATCTCTGCAACAATTATGGGGTAAAAGCCCAGTTTACATGTTTTCGCACTTGTGGCTTGTGAAAATGTGACAAATGCCACGTGTTTCATAGTTTGTGTTTTCTTTGAAATATTTTCAGTTTTCATTTTCAATATACATCACTTTTTCTTTTTTTTAATCATTATCTCAGCCCACATCTGGCCTGACATCTGTTGAAAATTTGCACTGCAACCAGTGAGAAAATAACGATAGATCAGACATGAGATATAAACATTAGCATAGTGTTAGATCAACTGACTGCATATGACCAATGGTGATCTCTAAATTATAATAGCATAAAGGAAAAAAAAAATCTATACACACTAACATGAGTCACATCAACCCTAACACAGACATTCATTTTTAGAGATAAAGCGTTTCCGTTCTGCATGGTGTAGATTTCACCAGATAAAATTAGAGCATAACTTTGTGGAAACATTTGTCTGAGCTGGTACAATATGGTAAAGGTCTAAATACAGCACGTCATTAGCAGATTAGACGATAAAATAGAAAAGACTAAGACAGCGTTGACACAGTAGTTATGTTGCATTTATCTCACATTCTCTCTCTGTCTACCTACATCCACCTTCATACACTGCTGGTCATATCAGATCAAGTGAATACTGAACTGTTCAAAGCTTTACCCTTGAAACTTGAAAGTGTTTCACAATTTGTGTTGTCCTGTATCTTTTACACTCATACACAGGCTGTGTCACCATAACAAAACAAAAAAAAAACCTTCTCATCTACGTCAGACCTAACAGAAGATCCACATAAACAACAGTCCACAAAGATTTCATTCAATATTTCTTTGCATCGTGCCGAGTGCTAACACACAGCAGATATTAATAGCCTCAAACATGTTCGACACACCCACCCATGGAGGGAAACAAGCTCCAATGTGCATTTTGGCTCAGTCTGTCCGATGTCTGGCCGGGGAGAGAAAAACCCTCAAAACACCCATAGTGTGGTGCTCATATGAAAGGGGCTATTTATAGGCTTACTCTAGTGAGAGGGACTACTCCTCCCGCATGTTCCACTTCTGCATGTCACAGAGATGTGTCGAAGACGAGTGAAGCAGGGAGGGCAACTTTATTGTCAAAACAGAGAAAGACGATACATTAAAGTGTTTGGACTCCAAGCATTTTAATCACATAGGGAGAGGAGGTCATAGGTCATTCAAAGAAGGGAAAAAAAATCAATTTGAAATCATTTATTTTTTACCTTAATCTGCAGCTTGGGCTGATGTGAAAATAATTCACACTGTATATATGTCACTCTTTTAACCAATTATCAAAAAACTTTTTCACTAAGCAACCGACTTTATTTAGAGCAGACATGTTCACCGCTGAGCCCAGCGCAACGCATCATTGCAGAAACCAGACAAGACTGATCTGACAAACAGCATTTATGGCTAACTTGCCTCATTACACACCAAAACAGCTGGACAGTGTACAAAGGAACCAGCCAGTGGAAAACACAGACTAGAGGACTTTTATCGCACTGAGATATTTATAGCAATGGATTAAGTTTTCCTTCTTTCTTTTTTTTATTTAATTCCGCTTTCATTCTAGTCTTTGTTGCTACTTGACTTACTGGCAGTCAAGTGGCAACAGAGGATTACATTCATACTTTCGTGCAATTATTGAACATTAATAGCAAAAAGATATAAATGTTATTACACTACCAAAGGGAATTTTAAACATCTGACATATTAACTAAGCCACATTAATAGTAGCAGAAAGACCGTCTCATATTTGAAGTTATTGCTTGGTGCAGCTTTTATTTGCCACTTTTCCACTTGTATCTCATGTAATGTGATAATCAATGAACATCAATATTTCTCTAAACACATCATAATGTTAGACGTGGACTTTGACTGTGAAATGACAAAATGTATTGCCGTTATTATGATCAGCATTATAGCAAAACTTCCATGGGCAGAATATAAACACACACTACAGCATAAAGCAATAATTGATACTATATAAAATCTGGACATCACTACACAGTTGCAAATAAAAAAATGCCCTTTGAAATCTTGAAATTTGCAAATGAAAAATCAAGTTCTTAGCACCATTTGACACATTAACTCCTCAAAAGAAATTTTTTCTGATGGAGAAATTGAGAAGTATTGTGCTGATGTTTAACCTGTATTTAAATAGTTGCATTAGTTAGTAGATTTATAGACATAAGACACACATGTATGTTCCATTGATGATCATCTATTTATCCTCATTTCAACCCATTTTAAGCCATCTCTTTCAGATATATACTTTTTTTTAATTTGTATTTAATTATTATTATTATTTTCATTACAATTCAAGTAAGAAGTATGCTTCCATTTTGCATTTTACACAGTGGAGCTGCAACCTGTCAGAGCTCTGCTTCTGAGGTGTGATGGTTACATTTATAGAATAGAAAGTAGGGCAATTCCCCATAAACTTCTATTTTTATTAGAATACTAAGTTCCACTCAGTCTTCTTGCTGTGACAACTAGACTGTTAAGGAGGATTCAATCTATGGTGTTGCATACAGTCTGTGGGTCACAGCAGAAATGTTTCTTTTGACTCTTGGAACAATAATATATATTGTAATGACCAGATGCCTTGTGTCTCATTAACATTCACTAAGTTTGACATGAAGTTTCCTTGACTGACATGAAGAGACTGGAGTAGAAGTTACCTGCTGTTTTTGAAACTTTAGAGGAGGACCATGAGGAGAACAGCTGACAGGCAGCACACTTCAACTACATCTTCACACTGTCAGTCCAACAGCATGTCAGACTGTACGGTAGGAACAGTGGATCAGAACATGTGTGGAGCACCGAGTCCTTTTACACACACTGACACCATGTGTTTTCTGGTTTACTCTGGGCCCATGTGTTCGAGAACGAGATATGTGTTTGGGTTTGACTACTGTACAACCGAGTCGTGACCGGATGAGACGATTCTCAGAAGGTTGTGGAGAAGAAAGAAGACACAAACGTGGACATACACAGTGTGGACAGACGGACATCATAAATGGACATACTCACATCCTCGAACAGAGATCCAACGTTGGCTGTCACTAGCAGTATTCCAGTGCTGTGCGCTGCTGTCAGCTTCCCTGCCATAATGCTCCGTGTCTCTCTCGCAGGTGGGTCGGGGACTGGTTAGGCGGACTTTGTTGGTGAGAGGCAGTGACAGAAACGTAGAATTAAAGCAGAAGCCGGCGAACGTCTCGCGAAACTGGTTAGAAGGCTGTGGATGTGCGACTAAAGCCGGGGTTGAGGCGGCTCGGCTGAAGCATATTTTTCTTCCTCAGCTGTGGCCGTGCATCTACCAGGAGTTGCTCTGCAGTAGAAGATCCGTTGGCGGCGGTGTTGGTAGTGAACGCGCTTCTCTTGTTACTTTATCGCCTTAAGGGCCATCGTTGGAGTTTCAGGTTTAATCCACGGCGAGCGCCTGACGTGTCTGTTTCATTTCAGCTACGAGTGTTTGCCTTTGCTTTATTGCAGTGTAGAAGTGTCCCTCTCAGCGCAGGACTGTCCGCCAGGACCATTGCCTTCACTGCTTACAGACGATAGGCTGGAGTCCTTCACTGCTCTGACGTCACTGTACCAATAACAACGCGGGCTTTCT